ATCGATGGTCTGTTCCACAGTCTGGCTCTGGCCTTGTTTTGGCTGGTGATATGGAGCTTTTCTACCATCTCTTTCCACAGATGTAGTCAGTTTGATTTCTGTGTATTCCATTTGGTGAGGTACACATATATAGTTGTCTTCTATGTTGTTTCAAAAAGGCATTTACAGTGAACAAGTCATTGGTCGTGCAAAATTCTATCATGGGTTCTCCAGCATCGTTTCTATCACCAAGGTATTATTTTCCAACTACTGATCCTTCTTCATTGTTTCCAACCTGTAGATTCCAATCGCCCCTAGTTACCACTACATCTTGATTGCATGTTTGATCAATTTCAGACTGAAGAAGTTGGTAGAATTTTTCAATTTTGGCATCACTGGCTTTAGTGGTTGGTGCATACATTTGAATAATAGTGGTATTAACTGATCTTCCTTGTAGGCGTATCGATATTATCCTTTCACAGATAGCATTGTACTGCATGATACATCTTAAGATGTTCTTTTTGATAATGAATACTGTGCCATTCTTCTTCAGTTTGTTATTTCCTGCATAGTAAATCATATGATTATCAAGTTCACAATTGCCTGTCCCAATCCATTTCAGCTTGGATTGTCAATCTTCATGCATTCCATTTCATTTTTGATAACTTCCAAGTTTCCTTGAGTCACACTTCGTATATTCCATGTTCTGATTGGTAATGAATGTATACAACTGTTTCTCCTCATATTGAGTTTACCTCATCAGCAAATGAAAGTCTGGAATGTTTTACTCTATTTGCATCATCGCAGTCAACTGTATTTTGAGGAGGCAAGTAGTCCCCAGTCGTATTTGGAGTGCCTTTCAACATGAAGGGCTCGTCTTCCAGTACTCTATCTGACAATATTCTGGAGCTATTCATAATGTTTCAATATTCAATATTCTGGTGCTATCTGACAGTGTTCCACTGCTATTCATAATGTTTTCAGTGGCTAAACCTTCAGAAGTTGTCTGCCTCTCCTTCTTTCAAGTCTGTCTTCCTTTGGAAGCTCAGATGAAACCTGTCCACTATGGGTGTACCCTTGCTGGTATTTAAAATACCAGTGCCATAGCTTCTAGTATCACAACAATACGCAAGCCACCACTACAACAAACTGACAGACAAGTGGTGGATAGGTAGGGTAAATAGAATCATCATTAGAAAGGACTGTGGCTGTAGTCAGGATAGCGCTAAACCTCAACCCAAGGGTCAGATAAGGGAGAAGACAAGAGAACAATTAGTCAGGCTAATAACTGAACAATCTATCTTCATTTGGAGATCCAATGATAGAATTTTGCAAGACCAGTGACTTCCCCCTGCATCCACCTTCTCAAAAATTCACCCATTAAGGATGACAGTGGGGACTGGCAGCTGGAGAATGTGAGGGCAAAAAATGGCCACAAGTCCCCTTAGATATTGATCTCCAGTCTCACATGCAATAATTCTTCTCACGTGTTTCCCAATACAGAGGCAACCGCTCTCCCACATACTACATTCCAGGCCATCCCATGATCACATAGTAACAGAACCTTCCTAACACAGGTAAGTGCAATAAGCCACAGAACAAGTTGCCAGAAAAATCATTGTTCTCCCTTTGATGATGGGGTAGAAACATCATGGATAACTGTTCTGTAGAAAATCTCACAGCACCTCACCTGGTAGCTCAAGTCTGAATTGCTTAGCCTAAGGAGCTGTGGGTTAATGCACTGGATTGCAAAGTTGGATTGAACCTCAAGGCCGGTGGTTCAAGTTCACCAGCTGCTCCTTGGTAAAGGGTTACCTTTACCTATACAGGATCACTATGAGCTAAAACTGACTCAATGGCACTTAACAGCAATAGCAGCAATCATGGAAAAAACACAGTCATGGCACTGAAAAAGTGTTGGTAAACATTCAGCCATTTCATAAGTTATATATGATCAAGAATCAATGGTACTGAAAGAAGAAGTCCAAGCTGCATTGAAGGCATCAGTGAAAGACAAGGCTCCAGGAATTGATGGAATACAAATTGAAATGTTCCAACAAATTGATGAAGCACTCATTAGTCTTTGCCACGAGATTTGGAAGTTAGCTAACTGGCCAACCAATTGGAAGAGATCCATATTTGTGCTCATTCCAAAGAAGGGTGACTACAGAATGCAGAAATTTTTATTAATGTCCCCCACTCATCCCAATGCCACTGAGTCAATTCCAATTCATAGGAACCCTGTGTAGGGCTTCCAAGGCTGTAAATCTTTATGGGAACAGAAAGCCTCCTCTTTCTCCTGTAGATCGGCCAGTGGATTCAAACTGCTGACTTTGCAGTTAGTGCCCACCTCGTAACCCACTACACCATCAGGGTTCTTAGTAATATCACACTGAAGTAAAATTTTGCTGAAGGTAATTCAAAAATGGTTGCAGCAGCACATTGGCAGGGAGATACCAGAAATTCAAGCCAGATTCAGAAGATAATGTGGAATGGGAGATATCATTGTTGACATGAGATAAATCTTGGTTGAAAGCAAGAAATACCGTAAAGATGTTTGCTTGTGTTTTATTGACTATGAAAAGGCATTCAACTGTGTGGATCATAAAAAACTATAGTTAACATTATGAAAAATCAGAATTCCAGAGCATTTAATTATGCTCATGAGGAACCAATGCATAGACCAAGAGACAGTTGTTCAAACAGAACAAGGGGATACTGTATGGCTTAAAATTAGGAAATGTATGTGTCAATGTTGTATCTTCTCTCCATACTTATTCCATCATTATGCTAAGCAAATAATAAGAGAAGCTGGGCTATATGAAAAAGAACATGGCATCAGGAATAGAGGAAGTTTCATTAACAACTTGCAACATGCAACATCCTTGCTTGCTAAAAGCACTTTCTGTTATAGATCAAAGACAACAGCCTTCAATATGCATTACCACTCAATGTAAAGAAAACAAAAATCCACACAACTGAGCCAATAAACAATATCATGATAGATGGAGAAAAGATAGAAATTGTCAAGGATACCATTTTACTTAGATCAACAGTCAGCACTCATGGGAGTAGTAGTCAAATGACATCTTGCACTGTGCACATCTGCTGCACAAGACCTTTTTAAAGTGTTAAAGAGAGAAGATGTCATTTTAAGAAATAAGTGTGCCTAACCCAAGCCAGGGCATTTTCAATCAACTCATATGTATATGAAAGCTGGACAATGAGTAAGGAAGACAAAAGATGATTTGACGTATTTGAATTGTGGCGATGACAAAGAATATTGAAAGTAACATGTACTGCTAAAAGATCAAACAAATGTCTTGGGAGAAGTACAGCCAAAATGACCCTCAGCAGCGAGAATGGTGAGACTTTATCTCATATACTTTGTACATGTTATCAGAAGTGGCTAGTCCCTGGGAAAAGGCAACAAGCTTGGTATAGTAGAGGGTCAGCAGAAAAGAGGAATATCCCTAATAACATGGATTGACATAGTGGTAACAACAAGAGGGTTGGGAAGGACCAGGAAGTGTTTTGTTCTATTGTACATGGGTTGCTATGAGTTAGAGCTGACTCAACGGCATCTTACGACAACTAATGATGGAGTTTACAGGGTGTCAAAATGGAAAGCTATGTTCTATCAGTTGTCCTCTTTTGTAGCGTCCCCAATGAGATCATCTATGGCTCATGAGGCAAGGGTGACTCATCTAGAAGGGAAGGTTTATGGCTAAAGGCGATGACTGACAATTTAGAATTGTTGTTGCTACCAACTTAGTTCCAAGTCAGAGCTACCCTGCATAGGGCTTCTGAGGCTGTAAATCTTTGTAGAATCAGAAAGTCTTATCTTTTTCATGCAGAGCAGCTGATGGGCTTGAACCAAGGCCCTTGTGGTTTGCAGTCCAGTGTTTATTGTATGGAGCCACCATATTTCCCATACAGAGTTATAAGGTTTAATTTTTACAGTTGTATCAGGCTAAGGAAGGGACTTTCAACCCTGGTTTTGAGATACTAAAGGTGAGTCCTAAATATCTTTATTATTGCTGTTGTTAAGTGTCATCGAGTCTGTTCCTACTCATAGCAGCTCTGTATAGTGTTTCCAAAGAGTGGCTGGTGAGTTTGAACTGCCAACCTTGTGTTTCAAACTTACCCTGCGGTCCAGTGCTTTATCCCACAGCACCACACCAGGACTCTTTAGGTATGACTAAATATTTCCAAAGAATTGCTTTTTTTTTTTTTTCAGTTTTAAAAAGACTACAGGAGAGTTTTAGGAAAAGGAGCTATGCTTAGCAGGTGGAATGGTGGAATCAGCACAAACCATGGCAGTAGTTGCAGTGCCTTCAGCTCTTTTCTTCTGTAATTACTACTCCCAAAAGATTAGGAATCACTGGTCTGATATTTCTATTTAGGACTGGTAGTATGAAGCAAACTTTACAACATACCCTATCTAAAGAAAACAAACTAAAAGGAAGAAATGTCTACTAACATGTGCTGTGACAAGTTTCCTTCTTTTTTTAAAATTTTATTGAATTTTTGGTGAACTTTTATACAAGTTAGGTTCCTGGAAGACTAATTTCCACACAAATTATTCAATGACATTAGTTACATTTATTACAAGGTGTCAACATTCTTTTAACTGTATTCTGTTTCAGACCCTGTTTGTTCTCTTTCTAGTACTCTAGTTTCACTGTCCCCTTATCTTATCTTTGTTGTTGAGAAATTGTTGACCTCTCAGTGGTCTCATATTGATGGTTTGCTCTGTAATCTTGAGCAGCAAACAGCTTTTCCCTGCTCTGGGACCCAACATCCTTCTAACTTAAATTGAGGAGATTGTAATCTCCTGTTTGACAAATTGTAAAACCAGACACATACCAAACCCCACCCCAAGCTTCCTTATAATTTGCATATTTATGAGTCTGGCTCCTCCTTCCCTTTCAATCCCTTCATTAAATAGCTTCCCCTGTAAAGTCTTTTTAACTGGAAGCTGTACCTCTTAACTACTGACCATAGCAGCTCTCCACACCATGAGAGCTGACCCTTTCCTGGTGGCCCAGGCTGGCAGCCTAAGCCTTACCTTCTTGGTTCTACTTTCCTTCTGGCCCAATCCAGGTGTGGTGGCCAAGGAATTGAAGTTGGTGACATTGGTAAGTAGGCTTTTCTCAATGCTTTTTCCTTAAAACTGTCTGTCAAGCAGGGTTTGAAAACTAAGTATCAGGTTTCATTTTACCTTTGTGTTGTCTCTAGAAGAACTGGAAGTGTTTACGCTCAGAAAGTGAATATTCAAGTTTCGCAAGTTCCTCTTGGGAAGATCTAGCAAGTCCTGACAAAAATGGGTTTCTTCCCTTTACCTTTGCTGTTTATTTACTTACTTACTTATTTTACACCTGCTGAGTAAGCAGAAACCTTGGGACAGCTGCAGGGAGTCAGAAGTCTGAGCTAAGGCTCTTTATATACAATTTAAAGTAGTTTCACCCAGTTTGGTGATTATTAATTTCTACTCCAAAAAGCAGTCATTTTCTGAATTAAGCAGCCCCTTCCTCTTTAGGCCCTTCATTTTTCAAGAAATTGGAAACTATATTTGTTGACAGCCTTTGAAGCATGAAAATGAAATAAACCTCAGAGTTTTAGGATAATGTCCTGATGTATACAATTGGTTACCTATTAAATCAACCTTTTTTGCATCTGTGAAATGTATGATAAAATATGCAAAAAGGAGGGTGGCTAATGTGTGATGTGAGGGTAAGAAGATTTACTGTTAGCATTAATGAAATACAGTTGGAATGAGGGTTTGAAAAGAGGTGGGGGGTTACCACTTTACATATGAGCCCTACGTAAATTCCTCTGGTCCTCTTGGTTTCTTTGCTTTGGGGTCTCTACTTCTGTTTTCTCTGTTTCATGCTATCTCTCTGCCTGTGTCCCTCTCCTTGTCTTTCACAGGTTCTCTTGCACTGTTTCTGTTCCTCACATAATTGATGTGATATAGTGAAAGTGGACTGATGAATAAGCAAATTTTCTTTCTATAAGAAATATTCAAAATATATTTTCATTATTTGGAAAGAGTCACATTAAACTCAAATTAAAAATGAAACTCCAATTTTCTCAGTTTGGTGTATTCAGAATTTCTTTCTTTCTTTTCTCCAGAACATTTCATAGCCATATGTTCTGAAGAACTCATATAAATCGTGATTTTTAGTCCAGTAAATTTTTACTAATCACAAATCAGCAGTGACAGAAAAAACAACAACAGAGAGAGTGTGAAAGAAGCAGAAAAACATCACAAAAACTGTTAGGCTTCTGCTGAAAAAAAACTGTATAATGCTGTGCATTTCCTATAGGGAAACCCAGGGTGAGCTAGACTTTTGCTTCCATCCTTGAGTTCCTTGCCAACATGTACATTAAACAAGTGTGGAGAATCTGTAGAAATGGTACTGTCAGCACTGTAAGCCTGTTGTGACAAGCAGGCTCAGTGGCAATCAATCTGCTGAGATATTGCAGTGAAATCCCAGGTCACTGCATATAGTAGCTTCTCTTCCTCCATGTGTTTGTTACCCATAACCCAGGCTAGCAGTCCCTGGCTACCACAGTGACTGTGGTTTTCCTCTGTGATAAAGCTTTCTGCTCCTGTGAAGATTTATAACTTCAGAAACCTATACAGGGTAGATATGAGCTAGAACTGACACCCCGGCACATAACCACCACTCTCAGTTAGCATGTTCTTTGGAACTACAGGTTAATCCTTACCTAACCGAAAGAAAACTACAAAGCTAAATCTCTTGGAATTAAAAAAAATTGACAAAAATACTGCACAAGGCTTCTGACCATAGCTTCCTCCCATTAATGGTAGAAAAAGGTCAGCTTGATACATCTTTCTCAGCTCTTATAAAGCAACTTAGTCCTTTCAAAGCAACTTCTAACTCAGGATGTAAGCCAGAAGATATCAGTTTCTTCTTTTTTATTGATTATAAAGAACATTTCACTATCAATGGTCAAATTATGTATCTATAGCAATCCTTAGAAAATTGTTGGGAGAACCAGAATCAAAACAAAGTACTTCTAATTAAAGCAATATTAAAGATAATAATCAATAGTTGAGTACTTACTATATACCAGATACTATTCTGAGCTTAATATGCATTATGTAATAATCTTCCCAACAATCCTATAAGGTAGGGTTGTGAGATTAAAACACACAGAATGATCAGTCAAAATTGCTAAATCTGGCAACCCTACTATAAGGTGTAAGACTTATTCAAATTATATTTTATTGATGAAGAAAATAGTTAAGCAACTTGCCCATGGTCCACCCACCTGGAATAGTTGGAGGCAGGATTTGAACAGTCTGTGAGCCCAGAAGCTAGGGTTAATCACTAGCTCTATTCTGTTTGTAGTAGTGGTATGCCTATGACCTAGCATGTGTGGCTGGCCTGAGACGTCCCCATGGTGATCTGCTGTGGGAAGGATACATAATCAGCAGGTGTTTTCCTTGCTTTTTCTTTGTCATCCAAGCAAAGTGCATCTTCCTCATTTCATTTCCAAAACACGGTTCTTGGCAGGAAGAACAGGAAAATTTCTTTGGGTTTTTTCCTCTCTTATGAACACAGCCACAGCATGATCTTTAAAATCAGGTTCCTCCAAGTGTGTCCCTTGAAACACTAGTTTGACAAGTTGTTAATAGGTGCTGCTTGGGAAAATATAAATCTCAATGGTCAAGTCAATTTTGGGAACAGCATATGGATTAAACCAAGATAAAAGTTCCCTTTTTGTAGGATTCCTCGGTCTTTAATATGATAGCAGACACTGTGACTTTCAAGGAAAGGAACACATCAACTGTATGTCCTAAATGTCAACCAGAATAAGAACTGGACTGGGAACCACAGGTCAGTGGTTCAAACCCACCTGCTGCTCCTTAGAAACCCTATACAGGGTCACCATGAGTTAGAACTAACTTGATGGCACTTAACAACAACAATGACAAAATGTCAACTACAGAATCAACTTCCTCTTTTATTTCCAGAGCACCCCATAGAAAATATCAACTCATGGTCAACATTATTTTATCTCTATGTCCATGTAGTCCCCATACAAACCCACCGGATTATTTTGAAGTATCCCATGTGTCAGGGCATTCCATCCAAAAATATAAAATTGCTACTGTAAAGCATTCTCCCTCCTCTAAGGCAGAGAAAAACCACTAGCTCAGGTGGCCTCAGGCCAAGAGAACAATTTCATCTCATTCTACTGAAGTTTTTACAAAGAAAAGGAGAATTAATCCATCTTCTCCTTCTTCAAAGTTGACCATGTGGAATTCTTACTCAAGCGATGTGGCACTTCTTGATGGAAATAGCCCTCAAATTCTATGCACATCATCTCCACACCCCAATAGGTGTAAAGGATGCCAGCCATCACATGTTTCCAGGGATAGCAGACCTTCTAAGAGTTCTTCCACAGTGCTCTTGGAAAGGTGAAAAACTGGCAAGCTTTACTGTTAGTCCAATACTGGCAGTCCAAGAGTGTTATAAATTTTCTGATGCTATTTTCTCAAATAAAAGTTAAAGGTCACACTTAGGAAAGCACTGAACCTTCATTAATTCCACTTCCAGCATCATTTACCCACAATGGAACCAAAGACAGGTTATTAATGTAGCTGGGTTTCAGATTCCTCAAAGTGAAGCTGGGAGATAATGAGTATAGTGATGCTTCCCACTTCACAGAGTTGTTTTAAGGATAAACTGAGTGGTGTACATATGAAAGTCTGAACCACGATGCAAATATAAGGTGATGCTGCGAGTCATCAATCTAAATTGGAAGCTTTCCAAATTTTTGGATAAAATCTAGATGATTTTTAATTATTCTTGTGTGCAACTTAAAAGGAGCAAAGAGAACAGAAGGTATTAGATGGCTATCACCTCCGCTGGAACCTTAGACTAACCAGTTACCTGTTTGCACTGAAGTCTTACCCACTTATGAATTCTAACTGATTTTCTCTTGGGGGAGATGAACTTCTGGGTGCCAAGTCTAAATTGAGGAAAGGTGAGGCTGGAAGTAAGAACAGAGAGGGACTATGTACACCGTTCAAGGAGAGCATAATAACGACCTAAGTTGGATCAGAAAGCTGTAGAGTAAAAGAGAAGGCATGAATTTGTTTGTTTTTCAGTTTTTATTGGGAACTGAGTGATAGTTTACATGGGAGAACATCGGTTTTACACCATCGTTTCATTGCAATGATTGCAATCTCCTCTGTGAATCATCAGTCAAGAAGAGTATTTGCTTCCATTCCCTCTGTTTTTGTTTTTTGTTTTTGGGGGGAGGGGAGAGTACACAAAAATGCTCAGGAATATATAATAACTTAAACAACCAAAGGGTATATTGTGCAAGCCTGCCTCCTGGTCACCAGCATCCATTCTCTCTCTTTCCATGAGTCCAGAGTTCTCAGGTGCTTCCTCTCTCCATGTCTGGGATGAGATTCTTTTAAAAACCATAAAGACAGAATCCCTGTGCGTTGAATATATTAAGGAAGAGACAGGAACCAATATGACCCTGGGGGATTCCTTTGTTGTTGTTGTTAGGTGCCATCGAGTCATAACCAACTCATAG